TCCAGAAAAGGTCGCAACTGGTGGATCAGGCGAACCTGATAAAACGCCCCCCTGGTCACGGCCGACAAATGGTCTTCCAATGTCAGCCGTGGATCCAGGAGGACTCCCAAGTTGCGAGCCCTCTCTGAGGGGGCCAAAATTTCGCCCCCTATAGTCAGCGATGGAGTCAGCTGACTATGCCGAGGCGCCGGCAGCCACATCTGAGAAGCCGCCCAGGGGGGCTTTGGGAGATTCTGAGGTTCCAGACTGTCCAGAAAAGGGAACTCAAGGCTGGTTTTCGAAGCTTAAGGGAGAAATACAAGACACAAATCTTCTGGCCACCCAGAGCACAGGTGGGTGTGGGCGTTTACACAAAGGAAGGGCTGCTTGGGCAGTTGGGAAAACCAAGAGCCGCTCGGGAAACGGCTTCAGGGCGCTTCCAATCTAGCTGAAACGGGACATCCAGGAAACACATTTTCCAACACATTTGATTCAAAGGTGGAAACTCACTTCACCAGGCCCACAGGACAGCAGCTCAGAAAAGCGTCTACCTTTTAATAACATTTCTTAATCAGGAAACATGCTACCGAAGTCTTTCTGCCACCCTAGGCTCCGGCCTGTGCCTGAGATCTACGGAACGGAAACGGTCAAAGCTAAAGTGGGAGGGACAGAAAGAAAGAAGCAGGGGGCCAGGAAACCGGCAGGCCAGGGAAGAGGGTGGGCAGCTGTGCCAAAGGAGGGGATCTGAGGGTCCCCAGGAACATGGAGATTGGTGAGAAAGGGGAAAAGGCAGGGCCTTTTTCACAGGTAAAATCAGCTGAGCAAACCATGGATGAAGAGAGGTCAATTTCCCATCCTTAATATGTGGTGCACCAGCAACTGGCACAGGAGGAGACCCTGAAGACCTAGCCTGTTTCAAGCAGGGGCCCAATTCTGCGCAAGGGCTGCAGCACACGGCCAGCGCGTGCGCATCCAGCCCAGCCCAGCCCAGCCCAGCCCAATTTGAGCAGGTCCTGTAGGCCGCAAGGTCACCAGCCGCGGCTGCTCTGTCTGCCGATTCCTAAGACCGCCGAGCAACGAAAGCCAGAACCGGGAGTTTCAGTCTAACTTCAGCCACAAAAATTAAGAGCCCTCTGAATTTTGTTTGAGGATATCAGCCATTGCAAGTTTTGGCCATTAAAGGAGAGTACAATTGTCACGGGGATGTTTGAAACCCTGCAGAGTTGCCAGCATACATACCCTCCAACTGCAGGCGTAATTATTCTGAGAGAAAGACCGGGCAGGAGGGAGGGATGGGAAAAGAGAGAGACAGATTAAAAAAAAAAAAAAAAAAAGATCACAAAGCCCCATTTCTGGCCCTTCAGACACAGGAGCCCCTCCTGGAAAGGGCTACTTCCAGGGTCTCAGGCCGACTTCTCCGAAGGAAGGCCTGGTAGGGGTCGAGGTGGCCCCAGCCCAAAAGAAACGCTCCGGGTTCAGCATCCAACCGAAGAGCGCTCTCTCTCTCTCTCTCCCCTGGGGGGGCACATTTTACCTAGGCCTCCTCCAGTCACCCTGTGAGCACATCGCAACCTGCAGCTGCGCCTGCCCAAAGGGCCCCTCCTGTCGCGGGGAAGAGCGGTCAACAGACGAGCGACAGGCGACCCTCAAGCCAGCCGGCCAGCAAGCGCCACTCCAGCTTTCCAAAGTGCTGCTCCGAGGCCTCTTCCCCCCCGCCCCACTCCCTGCCTTCTGCCCTCCACTCTGGGCCGCCTCTAGGACCTCCCCTGCAGCCGAGACAAAGACGGGGCTGCCCTGAACCCACAAGCGCCCACAACTCCAGGAGGCAGGTGAGCGGCTCCGATTTCTGCCTGGGACAACTCGGGGAAAGAGGGAAACCGGCCTCCGGCTTGGCCAGAGCCCTCCTCCCCGGGGCCCGGGCACCACCTCAGGGGCACCAAGGCGGCCTCTCCTAACAGGGGCAGGCCAGGGATGCTCCGTCCAAGGGAAGAGCGGAGAGCGACCCTGGCCTGGCCAGGGAAGACCTCAGCGGCCTCCTCCCTGCGGGCCAAGAAGGCTCGCCCTCACCGGCGGCCTTGCCCGTCAGGAGAGGAGAGGAGACTCTCGTTGGGTCAGGCCAAGAAACTCAGGTGGGGAAAAGCGGAACGGCCGAGCTCTACATCGGCCTCCTCTTTCGACTCCAGCCGGACGGCTGTGACAGAAACCTAACAAATATAAATAAACGCTGAGCCACCCCTCCTCCCCCATCGGGCATTCGGAGCGATAGGAGCTACAACTGAGAGGAAACCCTCTTCCTCTGCAACATCCATGCTCCTTAGCAGACCTGCATGCTTCTTGCTTTCACCCCAAACAGCTTTCTGTCCACGAACCACCCCCCAACACGGCCATTTCAACTTCTCCAGCCTGGTGGACCTGGGGCGACCGCGGCCTGTCTCCAGCTGCAGCCCCAGTCACACGCCGTGGGTGAGGTGGGCCACCAAGGGCAGAGTTTCTCCCTAGGAACCATCACCTGCAGGAGGAGAGATCCCGAAGAGAGCTGAGAGGGCCCTCGGGGGTCTCGAGCTCCTGGCTGGTCACCAGCCCTCTCAATGGCCTGACTGCCCCGCCTGGGCTGGCCCGGAGGCTGCCTGCCGTGCAGCTCTTGCCCAGGGCATCAGAGCAGTGCTGGCTCAGACTTCCGGTGTTTGCGTCTGCAGCGCATGGCCGCGTGAGAGCAGACCTCCGCTCCGTTTCTTCCTGCCAGGGGGACCCTAGATGGGTCCAAAGTCGCTCCGGACAGGTGACCGTGAAGGAGGGATGCCCCATCGATCACGAAGCGACGGCAATTGCTTCGTTTGATCCGGGGAAAGCCCTCCGAACCCGACAGGAGAAAGGCTAGCGTGAGATCAGCATCTAGCCCAAGCTGCTTGCAGCCGAAGTCCCAGAGCATGAACCTAAACATCAGTGAACAGCATGCTTGGAATTGGTGAGAGTACTGATCTTCTTTCTTCTATCTACTATTTAAATCCTTGAAAAGATCCCCAAAGCAAGAAAACCTCCAGAAGTGAAGGGAGGGGACTGTATCCCCATTCCCTTACAGACGGAAGCAGCAAATTAACATAAAAAGTGGAAAGAGCTATACTAAAATTTGATTTAAAATATTTCAGTCTGGACAAATCCAGGAACTAAAAAACTGTCAAGATTATACCCTAAAAAATTTCTGATGGAATTATAAAAATATATAACAAAAATAACTTTTTGATTGAAAGAAAAACTGAAAAAAGAATTAATTGCTGACATCTAGTGGAGAATTAGAGAACAGAACACTAACAATAAGGACTCAGAAATTGGCAGAATGCCCAGAAACAAAGAAAAAGTTGTTCCTTTGAATTGCAAATAACCTTGAAGACAGCTGGGAACAAAGGAAGAGCCAGCTATAAGATTAAAAAGTGTTTGAAAGAGAGAAAAAAACAACACCTGGACTGTTGCTTAAACCTAAGAACTGTTTATGGGGAAGAAAAACCTTGGCTTTTTGGCTAATCTTTTAGAGGAGAATTTGCAGGAAGGATTTAAAGTGCTTAATATACTGAATCTGTAATTTTGACTGATAAATTGACTTTTGAATTAAAACATTGATGAAAGATTATTTGAAGGGGGGAGACAACATGGATATCATATACGTATCAAAAAAATGACAGGATGCCACATTCAATATTTTCTCCTGAAGGACTTAGCCTGGAAAATCAAGGTCCTCCAGAAGCAATACTTCAAGGCAAGATAAATACTTTCCCGGAGGAAATATATGTAATGTTAGGACAAATAAAAATGACAATAGATTCAAACCACGACGAAATTCGAAACAACTTTGAGGATTTAAATAAGCATATTTCCAATCTAAATCTACAATTAAAAAATACCCAGGAAATAACAACAAAGGAACAAACAAATCAGACAGCAGATTACAAACTAGAAGAGTATGATCAAATTGATGAAAAAACAAAGGAAAAGAATTACAATTTGACACAAACAGGAAAAAATCTACAAGGTTCTGATACAACAAGAAAAATGGAATTATTAGGAGAATTATTAAAGTTTGGGGGACAGAAAGAATTTATCTTACTTACTTTATCTTTTGTATTCCCAACATCATTTGTAAAAATACAAGAACTGTTGGGTAAGCAGATTACATCAACTTGGAAAATTACTTGGCAAAAGAAGATGATCAGAGACACATACAAGGGATTTGACTCGCCCTACCAGATGGACTATTACGTGAATAAACATTTGTTTGAATATGGCTAAAAGAACAGAGAATTTCGAACATAAAGGGGCCTTATAAAAAGAAGGAGAATGAGATTTAAGTAATATAGTATGTTTTATAATATATTAAATGTTAAAATAGTAGGTTGATGTAACTTTTATTAATATATAAGTAAAATATAAACTGATTAAAAAGGATGTTATATCTACGTAGATACTATAAAAGATAAAAAGTATAGTATTTTTATAACGCATGACATAAAATATTGGGATGATGTAAAATTTAGACAGTGAGATGACTAATATGAAGAAATTATGACTGATAAGAATTGGATTGAACATAAGGGAATCTAAGCGAACAAAAATTATAAAAATAGGATGTATGCTGAACTAATGAGATGATGGTTATGAGAATATAAACTGAAAAAAAATGTTAAATATAGAGATTATTATTTGTATAAATATAAAAAATGCCTTAATCATTTATATATTGAAAATATTAAGAATTATGTTTTGGCTAAGGTTGAAGAAGGAAAATACAAATGGGAGAAGGGAAGATCAAAGAAATGTATTATTAATTAATATATTAATTATGGAATTATCAAATTTAATCATTATTGACTGTTAATTCATTATTACTCTCCTTTTTTTTCTTGTTAAAATATAAACCAAGACAACACGCTGCACACCAGGCACTGGAAATTGTTCTAGTTAAAAACCAATAAAATATCTAAAAGAGAGAGAGAGAGANNGGGAAGATCAAAGAAATGTATTATTAATTAATATATTAATTATGGAATTATCAAATTTAATCATTATTGACTGTTAATTCATTATTACTCTCCTTTTTTTTCTTGTTAAAATATAAACCAAGACAACACGCTGCACACCAGGCACTGGAAATTGTTCTAGTTAAAAACCAATAAAATATCTAAAAGAGAGAGAGAGAGATCAGGGCTGGCTCCATCCTTGCAAAGAAGACTCAGAACGTCCCCCAGTGCCAGACGGAGGCCCAGAGGCCTCCTTCAGGGCTCCTCCGTGAGGAGCAAAGCCATGTACTAGCCTCTCCCCCCGCTCCCCCCCCCCCGGTCGCCCAATCCGTGGCCTGATGGCTTCTTCTCCCCTTCTTTAAAGCCCTCTTCATAAACCCAGGGATGCCCCACCACATCCACCCCAGAGGAGGACGCTGCTTCCAGGAAGAGTCGGAGGCTGCCTCGGCAAGGCTTCCCGGGGTCCCACCTCCACTCTGGACCTGATCAGAGTATCAGCGTCTTCTGCTGCTGTACATGTTGTAGGCAATTTATTTATGAAATGCGAGGGGAGGAAATTAAGCTCCCAACCAGAGGAACCACCTGCCTCCAGAGGCAGTGAATGCTCCATCACTGGAGGTTTTTAAGAAGGGACTGGACAGCCATTTGTCCGAAATGGTATAGGGTTTCCTGCCTGAGCAGGGGGTCGGACTAGATGACCTCCAAGGTCCCTTCCAACTTTTTTTTTTTTATTATTATTATTATTATTATTATTATTATTATTATTATTATTATTATTATTATTATTATTATTATTATTATTATTATTATTAAAGTCCTTGGGTCACAAATGACTTTAAGAACTGCTGGACGACACGGTCCAGTCAACTGACACCCCCCCCCCACGAGAGGCTTTGGCTGCTTTGCTTGCAAGTGGGCTTCTGATACCAGGTGGGGCACAAAGGGCCGCACCCTTCCGTTCTCCTGCTTCAGAGGGCTCTCTCTCTCTCTCTCTCTCTCCTCCAAAGCTTCCTACACCCCCCCACCCCCCACCACCCCCCGGTCCCTGGCTTCTCTGGGCCACAAGCCTGACTCCTTGGCCCCTGCCCAGACATCCAGAGGGCCTTGGGGGCCCTCAGCCCCAGCCCCCTGCTGACCGCTTCCGCACCTGGTCAAGAGGGCCTTTTCGTTCTTAGCCTCCACAGTCAGCGGGACGGTTTCCTGGCCTGAGCCTGTGCTGATGGTTTCTGTGGCCACGCTGGCCGTCTCCTCCTCTTCCTCGCTGTCTGAGCCGCCAGAGGAGCTGCTGTCTGAGGCCACCAAGGGGGCCTTCTGTGCCACACAGACGTTCCAGGCGCAGGGGGAGGCGGCGCTTGCTGTACAAGGGGAAGCACGCAAGGCCCCGTCACGCAGGGCTCTCCCCCGCAGCGGGCCAGCGCACCAGGCCGCCCGTGCCCAGGGCCAGCTCTTGAAACGAGGGAGGCCCCTTTGCCAGCGGGCAAAACCTCCCGAGAGACTGGAGCCCCTGAGCATCCGAGGCACGGCGGGGCCAGCCGCGTGGGCAGCCACCAGGGGGCCGGCTGGGTGGGGCCGGGGCAAGCGGTGGCTGCCTGTTCCAGAGCCCAGAGAGGGGGAACCCTGGCTGGAAGCCTCCCCTCCGAGGCCTTTGGCTGCCTGCTTTGCGAGCCATTTTCCTCCCGCTCCTTCAGCAGCCTTCCTCCCGAGGGGGAGATTCTGGTCTGGGTTTCTGCTACACTTTGCTCAGACCTACGTCAGTGTTTCAAAGCGGAGCTCAGACTCCTCAGCTGCCAGCTGGTGCAGGCAAAGGGCTACCCTGGCTCGGGGGGGGGG